ATAACGAACAGTATTCAAGCTTAAAAGTCTATAATACAATTAAAAATTGGAACAGAGCAAACAACGACCTCCAAAAAATCAGTTGTGGGATCAGGTGTCATGGAGGAGTGAGCATCGCCTAACGACCAATCACAATAAATAGTTTATGTCTCGAAAAAAGTTTTGGTACACAACGCCAAGTTCTTAGAACGGTCAATTTTTACTATGTTCATGTACTATAAAAATCGATGTAAGAAATGACGATAATTAATTAATTAATTATTACTGGACTTAAAATATGATGCGCAAAGGAGGGCTTAATTTAGAATGAATTGAAGTAATGATTAATATCACAATTTTTACATTTGCAAAAGTTTTCTTTAATATAACACCATACAAAGCAATGCGTATCTACAACCGTGTAAATTTAGGTTCCTCACGTCATAAACGTTCGTTGTAATTTCTCAATGACGTCATAAATGGCCGACGCGCAATCAATGGACTACAAACGTGTCGTTGAGCTCGAAAAATAAAATATTTTACGCGTTTAAAATCATAATCAGGCAAACATAGAAAATGAATAAGTCACAAAAAATGTAAGTATTTAGATTTCAATTTAAAACATGTATCGGCCTATAATATAAATGTGAATTGGAACAAGATCAAAACAATAAAGTCCTCTGGGCTTTATGGAATTTTATCTCGTGACCGACAAGTATTCATATCCCAAAAGATGTTTAAAAATGATACCTTAAATTACATAACTTAAATTACGTACTGCAAGACAATATTCAGACTGTCAATTGAAGAATAATGTCGACTCAGAAGGGCGAAATAAGATTATCACAGAAAGATCATTAAATGTATAATTGTTAAATTAGCAGAAAAGCACGCACAAAAAGATATATATTCCTTTTATGACTGTTTTTCTTTGAAATACGATAAATATAGATACTTGAAAGTTATGTTTCCAATATAACGGCACAATTTTTACCAAGATTTTTCGGTAAAGAATAATATTGAATTTCAAGGTAAGATAAAGAACTTTACCAAAATCAAGAGGCTCATCGGGCCGCAACTCTCACCTGAGTAATTTTGACTATGCTATTCTTCACCACATTCTCCCCATTGTAATACCTATTGAGGCCCAACCCTATGCTCCGAGGGGAACGATTTGGAAATTTTAAAATCTACACTATACCAGGATGCTTCCATATTCCAAGTTGCAACTCTTCCGCCTCAGTCGTTCTTGAGAAGAAGATTTTTCATATATATTATTTCAATGTAAAACTTGGACTCCCTTTGTGGCCCCGCCCAACCCCGGGGGCCATGATTTGTACAATTTAGAATCAACACTATTCCAGGATGATTCCACATAAGATTCAGCTTTCCTGGCCAAGTGGTTCCTGAGAAAGATTTTTCAACATTTTTCCTATTTAGTTTAATGTAAAACTTGGACCCCCTATTGTGGCCCCACCCTACCCCGGGGGGTCACGATTTGTATAATTTAGAATCAACATTATTCCAGGATGCTTCCACATAAGTTTCAGCTTTCCTGGTCAAGTGGTTCCTGAGAAAGATTTTTAAACATTTTTCCTATATAGTGTAATGTAAAACTTTGACTCCCAATTGTGGCTTCACCCTACCACGGGGGTCATAATTTGAATAATTAAGAATCTACACAATCCCAGGATGCTTCCACATGAGTTTCCGCTTTTATTTTCTGGATTATCTTCCCTTGGAAGGAGGCTTGGTCCTACATTTTAACATTTTAAACTCCGCTTCACCCAAGAATGCTTTGTACCCAGTTTGGTTAAAATTGGCCCAGTGGTTATTGAGAAGTTGAAAATGAGAAAAGTTAACAGATGGACGGACGGACGAGTATTTAAAGTTATGCCCCCATTATGAAGCTGAAATGTTTTAGTTGTTTATTATAAAAAGCTTTCTTCGATAAAGAGTGTTAAATTTCAGGGTGACACAAGAATATTAGAAATTAAATTTTAAATGCATCCATTTAAAAATTGTAAAATAATAATGTACCAAAAATCATATTCCTTTTTAGCTGTTTTTCTTCGAAATTCGATTAGTAAAGATACATTGAAAAAGTATGCGTCACTTACCATGGTGCAATATTTACAATAATTATTAGTAAAAAAGCTTAGTAGTAAAGTAGTTTAAAGTATAATAATGTTTTATATTGCAAGGCTATAAAGTACTGAAATGCTAACATTTACAGAATATGGTAAAAATGACAGTATTTACTCCATTAAGCCAGATAAAGTACATTCATAATTATGTCCTCGAAAATTTAAAACGAAGAAATTGTTTATTTCATTATGCCCGAAAAATTCTGACAGTTTTTAACTTCGATCTACAAATGCAATTTAGCATCATTATTGGACACACTAATAGGTAATGTGTATATTCTTATTATGGCCCAAAATCCCCCAAATAACAAAAGGCAACGGGGTGAAAAGACTGCTATAATGTCCAACACTTGTTCAGTTGTACATGTATCCCATGTCGTGAAGTTTTTATTATAAAAAAAATTGTTAAGAACATTGCTGAGAAAAAGTTTCTTATATCCTTAAACTCTAGCTAAACCCATCAAATTAGGTTACAGTAATTTATACATTAATATCAGTTTCGTCCTTAAAAATCTAAACTCTTAATGTAAAAAGTTTGTAGATTGATTGGGTTTGAATGTTTTCTAAAATGTTTCTTTCTGTTTCAGTGTTAACAGTCGTCAGGCATGCTTGCTTGATATGAATTTATATAAATCATCTATATCAGCAGAAAGTCAAGATATCAATTTGTATCTGTTTAAGCGTACTTTTAAATTATCCTTCAACAAATATTGGATTCAAGAAAAGGAAAAAAAAATCAAAATGCTCATGCATTTTTGAATGCATAAATATAAACCGCGCAAATTTGATTTACGATTAGTAATTAATCATTTTATCGAGTATTCTTTTTAATCAGTCCCGTCTATTTGGATATCAGTTTTGAAATCAAATAGCCAATGAATACTCCTATCTGCGCATGTGTATTTACCAGCGTAGAAGTCTTTTGAGATTTTAAAACAATTACATAACAATTTGCATGTTTCATACCGCTTTTTTAACCTTGAAAATATGAAGATAAGGAATATTTTTTGATCATTTATTCAAATCTAGCATTACAGGTTGAGAGCAGGGCGATCTAAGATCACAATGAACACATGAGAAGTAAGCATCCCTCTCCACAAACCCTTTCTCTCTAAACTTGACATTAAATAAAAAATAAACAATGCATTTTTAGGTCTTTGATTATAATTTATAAACTATTCATATGTTTTAATTTTTATCTAATTTTGTAAAACTAGTGCGTAAGAACGATTTACTTACATGAACCAGTGATTCCGTGTCATAAAAATAACAAAAAAGTAAAAATTGATGGAATTCATACTTCAAATGTTTATTTAGAACACTATAAATTTTAATATGAATTGATCATTAATATTGTCTCTGCACTTTCATAACAAAGTGCTGGCTAATACACTTCCCAGTTTGTAAACATATGAAGGCATTAAAGAGAATTCAGTTTTCCATTTAATACTGAGTAAATCCATATTTCTACAAATTTTCCGAAACACAATTTAAAATCTCAAAGTATGGTAAAATTCATTGAGATTTTATTATGGATCCAAGAGTTAATGAATGATTTCAATTATTTCCTGTAGATTTCTCTTAAAAAGTAATATATATTCATTATCCTTTAGATGGAGTATTTCTAGTGGGTTAAAGTTGGATAGACATATCAGACGAATTGAAATGTTTATAAAGAGGTTGATAGCCCCCATTTTTATTTCGCAAAAAAACAAAAACAAAAAAAAACTAGAGCAAAGCTCGTTGCAAAGCAACGAGTAGGTCTTCCGTCCTGTTTGACCGGAAGTAGCTTTCATTTTTAACAAAAATGAGAAATAACGCCCAAAAATGCTTTGAATCCTCTAAAGCTGAGTTAATTAATGCAAAAATAAGCCATTTTTGGCTACTTCCGGTTTGACCGGAAGTAATGACGACGGACGGAAAATTAATTTTTAAGCTCCCAGAGACGTATGTTACCCAAAAACTTGTCAAGAACAGCAAAAATACACGTTTTTCGATTACTTCCGGTTTGGCCGGAAGTGACGACGCCGGACGCACTTTGACGACTCCAATAGATTGAGTTTGATATTTTGAACAACTTTGCTTCTTTGACGTATTACAAATTCTTAATACGTTTTGTGATACAAAGAAAAAACTTTCGGCCCCTCTAGGCCCTTAATTTTAAGGGCCAGCCCCTTTTTTGAGATATCATTTGAAAGATCTTGGAATTCCACACTTCTTTTATTCTATATATTTTTACAAAATATTTCTAGGTAAAAAGATATCGAAGAAAAGGTGTTAGAAATTTTGAAATTCACGACAGGACTATTTTCGGACCATTGCGAGCGCCGACGTGCGGCGTTTCCGGAAAAATCGAATTGCGAAAGGCACATCTACAGACATAGGTCTATCATATCTGAAAGTTTCATGTTTCTATTTTAACTCATTTTCCAGAAAAACTCTGGAAAACTTGACCCTTTAAAATTCATAAAATCGGCAATATCTCAGACCGGAAGTGATGTTATCAAAAAAGAAAAAAAAAACGCATAAGGTTCAAGTGATGGTACATAAGTCCTGAAAGTTTCATGAAAATTCATCAAGCCGTTTTGGAGAAATCGCGTGCACAAAATCGGTAAGAAAAAAAACAATAATAAAAGTGAAAAAGAAACCTAAGAATAACAGAAAGGTCTTCCGCTGAAGACGGAAGACCTTAAAAAAACATGCTTTATGTTTTTCACCTTTAATGTATTAATTAATTTACATACGAATGCACAGCTTCTGAGAAACACAAAAAAACCGTAGACATTCATTCTTTTCTGGGAAATTGTGCACAGTGCAGCTTATCTAATTAAGGATGTCTATGAGTTCTATCTATAGTTTAAAATACACTCCAAAATGGAAAGCTGTCCCCAACCTTGTGTGCCGCAGTCGCACATTTATGCAGACATTGATTTCAATGTTCGCTCACTTTTGTTGATTTTGGGTGACATGTCAACTACTGATGAAGGCGACATCCTAGAAATAGAAGATATTTATCAGTTACGCGAGGACCTTGAGATTTTGATTCGAAATGTATCGTATTATCATCCAAGAATTCAGGAACTCCATGAAAGGATTTCTTCGTTGAAAACAACGGTTGATCAGTTTACAAAACAAGAAATCAGTATAGAAGAGAGGGTCAGATCTCAATATCAGCTACAGTGGGATGAAACGAAAGACAGATTCACGGATGTTTCAATAGTTTGCAACAACGAGCGTGAACGAATCGAAGAACTTGAAAAGAATGAAATAAGGTTTGTAAATGTATTTAATAAAACGTGAAGCACAGAATATGGTCGAATGATTGTATATTGATTAATGACCCTATACGGATTTTTTTGCTCCTTACTCATTAGCTTCTTCATTACTAGGGAAAAATTTTAAATTTAGACCCTTGCTTGGCACTCAATTCCATTGAATATTTAAGAAATGAATCCTTGTTGTCGTGAATGTTGCAGAATAACCTTCGAGGTCGAGAAACGTTGTTTGAAAGATAAAAGCCGAGCCGTTAGCCGAGGCTTTTATATTTCAAACAACATTTCGAGATTGAGGTAATTCTGCAACATTCACGACAACAAGGACTTTATTTCTATTCTACTACATGTGCTAGCAGCTATAAAATACGACTGATCGTTTCGAAACGAATTAGGTCACCATGCTGCGAAAACGCTGTTCCATTTAGCACCAGGGTGTAAATTTGTTTGTTTACCTGTGAATAGAATGCTGACGATTTGTGCTTTCCCTGTACTAAAATTAGCCTTTTATTAATTATAAATCTGTTTAAAGCTTATTTAGATTAATCTTTTTGAATATACAATAACAAAATCAGTTTCCTGTATTACCACTTTATCACTAAATAAATGGTCTAAATAAGTATTTCATGCTTAAGTCAAATGTACATTTCAACTGGACAGGTTTGATATGTGATTCTGATCTGGTAAATTTTTGATGACGTTCGAGATTTATTGGAGAATAATGTCCGCGGCTTTTCTTTGATCTTGGCAATAATTATAGTAGAATGAGAGTTCTTAATCGTGCCATTGCCTACCGTGACAAGGGGCCTCGCATTTAAAGCTCTGACTGAGCTACTGTGACTTTTTAATATCGAATCCGGATATATTGTGTCATATTATGTCATTATACCCGCACTTTCTAAAGAAAGTTCGGGTATATTGTTGTTACTCATGTCCGTCCGTCCGTCCGTCCATCCGTCCGTCTGTCACACTTTTCTTCCCGGAACTCCTCCTACATTTTTCACAGTAGCTTAATCATCTTTTGGGAGATGGTTGGTGGTGTCATGTAGATGTGCAGTAAGGTTTCGGAATTTTGATTTTGCCCCGGGGGATCAAATGGGGGTCGAAAAATGACATTTTTTATGCTAAAAGCCCCGTCTTCCCTGAACTCCTTCTACATTTTATTCAGCATCCTAATCATCTTTTGAGAGATGGTTGGTGGGGTCATGTAGATGTGCAGTAAGGTTTCGGAATTTTGATTTTGCCCCGGGGGGTGAAATGGGGGTCGAAAAATGACGTTTTTTATGCAAAAAGCCCCGTCTTCCCTGAACTCCTCTTACATTTTACTCAGCAGCCTAATCATCTTTTGAGAGATGGTTGGGGGTGTCATGTAGATTTGCAGTTAGGTTTGGGAATTTAGATTTTGCCCCGGGGGGTCAAATGTGGGTCAGAAAATGACGTTTTTTATGCAAAAAGCCCCCTCTTCCCTGAACTCCTCTTACATTTTATTCAGCAGCCTAATCATCTTTTGAGAGATGGTTGGTGGTGTCATGCAGATGTGCAGTAAGGTTTTGGAATTTTGATTTTGCCCCGGGGGGGTCAAATGGGGGTCGAAAAATGATGTTTTTTATGCAAAAAGCCCCGTCTTCCCTGAACTCCTCTTACAATTTACACAGTAGGCTAAACATAATTTGGGAGATGGTTGGTGGTGTCATGTAGATGTGCAGTAAGGTTTTGGAAATTTAATTTTGTCCGGGGGGGTCAAATGGGTGTCGAAAAATGACGTTTTTTATGCAAAAAGCTCCTTGTTCCCTAAACTCCTCTTACATTCAACTCAGCAGCCAAATCATCTTTTGGGAGATGGTTGGTTGGGTCATGTAGATGTGCAGTAAGGGTTCAAAATTTAGATTTTGCCCCGGGGGGTCAAATGGGGGCCAAAAAATGACGTTTTTTATGCTAAAAGCCCCGTCTTCCCTGAACTCTTTCTACATTTTACTCAGCAGCCTAATCATCTTTTGGGAGATGGTTGAAGGTGTCAAGTAGATGTGCAGTAAGGTTTCGGAATTTAGATTTTGCCCCAGGGGGTCAAATGGGGGTCGAAAAATGACGTTTTTTATGCAAAAAGCCCCTTCTTCCCTGAACTCCTCTTACATTTTATTCAGCAGCCTAATCATCTTTTGAGAGATGGTTGGTGGTGTCATGTTGATGTGCAGTAAGGTTTCGGAATTTAGATTTTGCCCCGGGGGGTCAAATGGGGGTCGAAAAATGACGTTTTTTATGCAAAAAGCCCCGTCTTCCCTGAACTCCTCTTACATTTTATTCAGCAGCCTAATCATCTTTTGGGAGTTGGTTTGTGGGGTCATGTAGATGTGTAGTAAGGCTTCTAAATTTTGATTTTGCCCCGGGGGGTCAATTGGGGGTCGAAAAATGACGTTTTTTATGCAAAAAGCCCCATCTTCCCTGAACTCCTCTTACATTTTATTCAGCAGCCAAATCATCTTTTGGGAGATGGATGATGGGGTCATGTAAATGTGTAGTAAGGTTTTGGAATTTTGATTTTGCCCTGGGGTGTCAAATAGGGGTGGAAAAATGACGTTTTTATACAAAAAGCCCTGTTTTCCCTATACTCCTATTTCATTTTACACAGTGGCCTAATCCTCTTTTGGGAGAGTTCACTCTTTTGAAATTTTGGTAAAACATCAAGGTCAAGGAGTAAAAAATCATAGCATGTTGGGAAACATCTTTTATGGGTAATGTACACTTGAAATGTGAAAGTCGTATCTCTTCTCAATCAAAAGGAAATACAACATTATTGAAAAGTAAATTAAACTTCAAGGTCAAGGTCACAGAGTCAAAAAGTCATGATACATTTGGAAAGGTCTTATCACAGGTAATATACATGCATGTACAATATGAATGCCCTTTCATTTATCTTTCAAAATGATCAATTTAAAATAATTAATTTGTTTATGACAGTAGGTCAAACTTCAAGGTCATGGGTAATAAAAATCATAGTGTATTTAGAATGGTATTGTCCTATTAAATACTAATACACATGTTTAATATAAAAGTCCTGTCTCTTCTCATTCAAAATATATGACCATGATGACCAAGGTTAAATTTATTGTGACAGATGGACAGACTGACAAACAAATGAGATTTAATGTCCCCTACCTTTAGCAAAAATGGGGGACAATAAATGTCCTTGCTGTTCTTGAGATGAAGATTTATGTTGGAAAAAGTCCCCTGCATATTTACATGTAAATTGGTTGAAATTGGCTCAGTGGTTCTTAAGAAGTTAAGAATGTGTAAAGTTTGCAGACAAACAGATGGATGACAGAAAACAGTACATTTCAGAAAACAGTATGCTTGTAACATGTGTAAATACTAAGTTAATCAAGGTGCTTTGGGTAGCAAAATAAAGCTAAACTGTTATATCTAATTCATCTGCAGAGCTTAGTATATTTTAATATGCACAACCTTTTCAACTCTTATAATAATTATTTTTAAAATATTTATATCACCATGTCTGATTCAAGGGAGAACTTGAGATATGACCAGAAGTATATCTGTTGAATATAAAATATGTACATGTATACTGTGTTTTTTTAGTAATTTGTTTGTTTGTTGTGACAGCAACTGTTATGGCAGCTTTTGGCAAAGGTTGAAGTTTCTCAAATGTAAGTCAAACTCCAAGTTCAAGGTCAAAGGGTCAAAATTGTTGGTATCAAAGGGAAAGTCTTGTCACAAGGAATACACATGTGAAATAAGAGAGAAATTCCTAGTACTTCCTCACCTGTTCAAAAGTCATTGCCAAGGTTAAAGTTAAATTGGGTTCAACTCTAGGGTCAAGGATATTTATACCTGTTGAAAGTTCACAATGATTGCACATGTTAAGCATGAAAGTCCTAGCACCAACTATTCAAAACTTAAATTAGGCCAAGTTTAAGGTATTTTTCTTGTAAAAGTGGGTCAAACTCCAAGGTCAAGAGACCAAGAGGTCAAAATTGGTAGTACCCATTAAAAGGTTTTGCCAAAAGAAATTTACCTATGAAATGTGGAAGCCATGTGTATAGCCCAATCCACTTAAAACTAAAATATGGGCAAGGTTAAAGTTTCTGTGAACAGACAAACAGACATAAACACAGGAAACAAAATATGTATATATAGTCAAATGGAAAAATTTTCTACTATTATATGGAGTCATAAGATCAATTGTCATTTCAGGTTACAGGGAGTCAGTGGCTAGGGAGATCAGACACCCCCCCCCCCTTGAATTTGCAGTTATTTAAATAAGACTATTTACTGAAGAGAATAAAAATGACTTTGGACATCCTCCCCCTTAGAAAACAGGGACCCCACCATCAGTGTTTTTATTATTATTTTTTATTTGCTTCTCGGGAAATCATGGGCTGGATTTTTTTTTGACTGCGGTGTGACACCCCCCCCCCCCCCCATTCCGAAAAAAAAATTCTGGATCTACGCCTGTAATAGTGTATATATACTGAATGTCCGCAACGGGAGATAACTTGACAATGTGAAATTTGTCGACTGTGGCATGCGATGATCTTTGACCCTTTTTGAACTTCAACCTAACCATTTGTATTTATTTATTTTTATGCAATCTATACTAAATCTTGTACTTACCGAATGTCATAGGTCGTGACAACGAATTCATGAAATATAATCCATATAATCCAATTAAAACACAAATGATTTTAACTGACCACACTGTATCGTCAGCATACATGTGCTAAATAATCTCATATTCCGTCTCCTTCATTAGATGAAGTATGAATCGGCCGAGGTGTGCCGAGTGGACATCTAAAAATATGATAATGGGTGACGCAAACCCAATGTGAATGTAGAAATTTTCAATAAGATGTTCACACGTAAAACTGTTTAGTACAAGAACAAATTTCAAACTATCATAATAAACGATGTTTTAAAATAACTTTGCCATCTAGGTCTATTTTTAAAAAAAATGTGTGAGAGAGAGAGAGAGAGTGTGTGTGTGTGATGGTGAGGGGGGGGGGATAGGCATTTACAAATCATTGGGCTGTATTTTCAATGATTTTTTTTTTCCTAAAATAATATTTTATGTGGTTGAGAAAGTAAACTTAAAAAGTTCCAAATTATGGGCAAAATATTTATCAGAATCTAGTTAAGTGATTTACTTTATTAATTAAATTCTGTTATTTCAGACTGGTAATGAATTAAGTATACAAAATACATCTATGAGGCTCATAGATCATATGGTCACCTGAAAATTTTATGCTCAATTTGACGAATACATGTACGGAGATAATTATAGAATTATTTTGACTTTTTCCTTGGAAAGTCCAATATGAAGGCAGTGGCGGATTTAAGTGGGGGCGCACCCGGCACCCCCCCCCCCCCCCCCCCGCCCTAAAATTGTCAAAGTTAGCATAAAACAGTTTTTTCGAGAAAATGTTTAAAATGTCTTCTCGGTGGACCTCATTTTTACCCTACAAAACCTCTAAAATCCATGAGCTTGCGGGGGCTTCGCCCCCTGGGCCCCCACCAGGACTTTGCCCTGGACCCACTGGGGAACTCAAGGCGGCCCCCAGACCTCCTGCCTAAATCTGGCGCCCCCCCCCAACTTCAATTCCTGGATCCGCCCCTGGAAGGAGTAAGTATTTAGAGGCAAACACCTTAGTGCCGTTATTACTGTCTCATGACAGCATATAGTGTTATATTTGGCCATGTTATTCACTATCGCATCACACCATCACACCATCGTGGTTTAGATCGATAGTACAATGACGAAGAAGCCATGGTGCGATAACGATGAAACGATGGTACGGTAGCGCGATGATGATGATGATGCGATTACGCGACAATGCGATGACGATGGAACGATAGCACGACGGAGCGATATTGCGATGACACGATAACGATGGCATGCTATTTGATGACGATGATGCGATGGTACGATGACGATGACTCGATATTTACTATCGCTTCATCGTGCGATCCAACCATCGATATCGCACCATCGAATTATTGCATCATCGACCCTTAAGTTGATGCTAGGTTGTGCGACAGTGAACTGCATGGTCCTATCTGGATTCCATAGTTTAAGGATAAAAAAACAAAAAATCTATGCCTGGATTGACAAATATTCTGATCGACTTTGATTTGAAATGACAAAAATAAAAAAGAAATCCCTTGAATAAGAAATCGTAAATTTTCTTTGATACTTAGATAAGGGATTTTGTATCGTTTCTTATGTAATTCTGTGTAAAATTGTGCAAATATTTTTTATGGTTTATTTTACTTGGCAAGTATCATTTAGGTTATCTATTTGAACTCTAGATTGAAATCTATGCGAGATATTGCTGTTTTTTTTTTAAATTGTTTATGATTTTTATCCTTAAAATCAAAGTACATGTAGCTAAAATAAAGCTTAACCTTCAGCTTGGGCAGTTTTTAACACCCTTCAAGGGTTGTTACTCAAGTCTTTTCCTTCTTTAAATGATATTGTGTTTAACAAAATAATATGGAACCGTAAAAATAACTTTCTAATTCATATGGCAAAATGACTTTACCTTTTTTTTCAGATATAAAAGAGCATTGGAAAACAAAAATAGCAGAATAAAGTCACTAGAAGAGAAGGTTGCCACCCTGTCGGAGAGCAATGAAAAATTATCTTCCACAGTTAGCGAATTGAAAGAGGTTTTTAAATCAAATTTATTTATTCACAAAGTACAGTAACTGAATCAATATTTATTTTTAAACGTAAAATTAATGAAATTGTTCAATTAAATGAACACCTTTTACAGTGGAATGTAACATTTGCAAATACAAAAGAGTGGATTTTGAAGACTACCAACAATCGACTCGCCATGTGCAGTACAGAACTATCTTTCTTCAAAACAACACTTAATCAGGCATGTGGAATATGCATTTCTGTATCATATTCTATCTTATTTTAATCTTATTTCAATCTTATTTTACCTTAACTAAGTAAAACAGTTTTTATCATTCAAAAATATAACTTTGCGTTAACCATATGATCTATTTCAGACCATCGGAATGAGGATGTATGACGAGTGGGTATTTGACAAAACAAGAATTCAACAGTATTGGGACGCACAGATCATGCAGACGACAAATATCATAAGGAATATTTATAACATTCGACTCGAGGCAGAACGACGATACCTTGCACAACAGTATCAAATGAAAGTACGTGTTTGTTTTATATGAAAATATTTACATTACACATATTACTTTGCATAAAAAGTGAATGGACATCTATGGCATTCAAAACACCATAACACGGAAAGGGGGTCAAAGGGTTAAAGCATGTGTTTTATTTTGACGTCACAATAGTTGAACGCCGAGGAAGTGCAACGTCATACGCGAAAATAAATTAAAAAACATGCTCACATTGATCAAAACCTGTTACGTTGGTTCTTCCATTCACTGTAGCTTACAGGAAGGATAATACATGGATTTTGAATTTAAATGTAAATCACATTTGCAGTCAAGACAGAGAGTTAAACAATGTATAACGTAAATATAAGCAATGAGTCATTATTTTTTGAAAGATATAGTCTCATAACTGCAAGGTGTGTGCAAACAAATTTTCATAACGCGTAAGCGCACGTTACTCAATTTGCTTTCAAACAGCGTTGCAGTAAGGAAGCTATATCTTTCAAATAATAAAGATCCATTGCTTAAATATTTGCAGGTTGAAATTGCGCCAGTATGAAATATAAAGAAAACGAAAGTGATTCAACAGAACAAGCTGCTAGCAGAGCAAAGAAAGAAAGCAAAAATCTAAAATTTTAGGGCAATCGAGGACAAAATGAAAAAAAATAAACATCGTGTATTGACTCAGGTGCCATTAATAGAAAGGCATCTCGTCTTCACCAGTCACCCTTGCTGTGTGCCATTTGCCATCATCGGATGTAGGGAGAAATATGTAGTCAATCAAATATATTTACATTTGCAAATATCTTTCTTAGATGATGGTATGTTCAATTCTGTATGAACTTTATTTGGGGTCAAAGGTCAAAGCGCGACCGAATCAGAGTGAGATGATATTTTGTCTACATATTTCTGTTACGGTGCAACTTGTTTCGGAATGTAATTTTTAAATCAATAACGATGAAAAAGATAAAATGATTAAAAAAATAAGGATATTTTTCAATCAAGAGATGTACAAAAAAAATCTTCTTTCGATGTGAATAATGTTTTGAATACTATAAGTAGCGTAAAATCACACTTACCTATTAAACCTGAAATTCCTTTGGAGTTATATGAAGTAAAACAGGCGATACCACCGCTTTTGACTTCAAATATATTGAGACCTCAAGAAATAGTAAGATTATTCTCAGCAGCAATCATTGTTCCTTCACTATAAACAGATATTTCCTGAACTGAACTACTAAACATGAACGTAAGCATTCAAATGTTGGAACAAGATGAACTTTCAAAACTAACTTCTAGGTTACTGCGCGTCACAACATAGCAATACGGCGGTCCGTTCGTGTAATAAATGCAGTTTTACACGGAACATACTTGTCTTAAATGTAAATATCAGTAATAAACGACAGTGTTAAAAACGTTTACTGGGAAATGAACTTAGTTGGTACGTGATCAAATATACTGAAAAGCCATTCGGGCTTCACAGGATTTAATCACGTGACCAACTAATTTCATTTTCCAGAGAACTTTCAAATATTGTTGTTTATTTCTAAAATAAAATTAATGGGTTAACATTGTTTATGAAAGATAACATATTGTATTACATAAATAATTGGCAAATATAGCGCAATGATATTGTAATTAGCCTTGTATCATCAGCTTACTTGTGAATAGCTTGTTTTAGAAATCGTTCGTAAGAAGAACTCGCTCTTTCACTTTGAATCAACTTGCCACTTAAACTTTATATACCCGTGATAATGATATTGCTAATCAAATAGGGACGGTTAACGAAAGAAAAGTTGCAGTTTTCACGATTTTGATATGGTAGAGCAATAGATTTTTCATCGGTTTCTTTCTCGAGTGAGTAATATAAAGCGGATTTGTATTTGGTGTCTTTTACATATGATCAATGTGTGAGATAAAAATATATCTTTTTTTCAGATGAACAAAACAGAAACGGAGATACTGAAATTCAAGAAAAGTTATAAAGCGCAACTTTTACAACTGCAAGAAAGGGTAGGAAAAGTTCAGGAGTTATGGAAAAAAATGGAATCTAATTGCTCAACTACGCATGATCGACAAAGATGCACGAGACTGAGGGGAGAATTTCGCATCATGGTTGACATCGTCGTCTCAAAGTAATTAATATTCATGTTAATATTTTTCCCTAAGCTTGATTTCGTTATTGCACTATTTAGATATTCATTTTTGAGGTCTTCAAACTTCTTTCGTAAACCTTACATTTTTCTGCAGATTCCTTTTATAATTGTTATTCATTATCATAGTACACTTGAAACAACTAGACCGATTATTTTTTCAGGAATGTTCAGCATTGCTTTCACATCTCCTGTTCTTTTTTTCTTTTTCAAATTTTGAAAAATCACATTTGGTCGCATTTTTTGTCCTATATTCGTTTTCCCTATCTATATCTTTTTTGCCTAACAAAAAAGTACCAAGCAACATAAATTATATGTCGTCAAATTTTTGGATAAGAAATCAATTCATTACCTTTCACGTGCTGCAACACTAATAACATTCAATATTAATGATACACAAATGATAATTTTATTTGGATATATAGAGTATACATTAACCAGATAAGCTTATAATTTTGGTTTATAAATGTTGAATAATTTCATTTCGTTACATTAGTTTCAATTACAAGCACAATTAAATATTTGAGAAGTTTCTACAACAAAGTCTATCGGCAGACTGCAATGACAAAATATACATATGTGAGTAATCATAACTTAAGTAAGAGTGCAATTCAACTCATTTTTGCCAAATAAGCGTACCAAATGTACATGTACCGCTGTTTGACTTGAATAGATGGACTGCAACTGTTTTATAGAAAAAAGGAGATTTAGATGAAATACAAATGTATTTGGAGATAACGAACAGTATTCAAGCTCTAAAGTCCATTAAACAATACAAAATAGGAGCAGAGCAATTGCTGTCCACCAAAACATCAAAGGTGAGATCAGGTAAAATGGAGGAGTGAGCACCCCCTGCCGACTGATCACATCCGCCGTGTGCTCCTTTTCATGATCGGGAAATTACGGAAAAATCCGTCGTCAATTCAGTGTGCAAATAATGGCATAACTATTAGTATGAAAAAAAAAAGTCAGTCAGCATTTGACTCAGTGCTAAATTGTATTTACTAACAAAGTCATTATATCAACAATAGAACGTACGAAATGTTGACTTTAAACGAGACTCCTGATATTCTTGTTTCATTAACTTGTTTTTCAATAATTTATCTCCTTTTTTGAGATTGTTAATAGATATATCAAGCTCTTGCAAATCGAATAAACGGGGGAATAAAAACTCCGTATGCAGGCGATGGAGGTATATTGCTGCATAAGTAAGGGAAGTTGACGATTAAAAAGTTAAAGTCTTTTTTAAAAAAATCCCTCAACCCAACCTTAATATCAAAATATTGTCGTGGGTTGTTAAGCTTTCAAGAATAGTGTTATAACAGTGATAAAATGGAGACATTGCAAAACGTAGATAAAAATGTAAAACAAAATGACGATCTTTTCCAAGAGATTTCGAATTTCAATTTTATTTGCAACAGAACACTTTCAATCTTTTATTTTCTTTGTTGCTGTTGTGTTACGGAGTATCATTGTTTATTGTTTTTATTTCAGGCTAGGAGACCTTAGGTAAGATTTAGAATTAAATACCTTCTTCTTAAACCTGAATACAACTCCTAAATAGGCATACATTTCCTATTCATTATCAGAAGTAATAGATAGGAAATGTATATGTATATCATTACCGCATAATATTGTCTTTTATTTTTTTTTAAAGTGAATCCAGCATGGTATATGCAGAAAAGAAAGAAATTAGCCATGAGAAGATTTTTGACAAGGAAATTGTGAGAACCGAAACTAGCATTAATGAAGAATTTTACCAGGCAAGCGAAGAGCAAGAGGATGCAGAATCACTTGATTAATCAATTTAAGCTTTTTTTAGGATACACGTAGTGATAAAAAAAGCTTTTTTATGCGCTCATTAACATATAAATTGCATTTAATGTGTATGTGTTAAAATGAAATTTGAAAAGAATTCTAAAATACACCTTTTTTCTCTTTAATCTTTCATTGTCGTCATGCATCAATGTAATTATCTCTTCGTAAAATGTTTATATTTTTTACTTTTCATGTTTTACCTTTCATAACATCATGATGTTGCTTTTTACTTATCTGTGTTTAATCTACATTAATGGTATCCATTTCTAAGAAATGAATTAATGATACGGCATGTGTTATATGTTTGCGTTCATTTTTGAAATTAAATCTAAAAAAATCATTGATTTTTTAACTTCCATACTGAAAGATTAAAGTTTATCAAGATGACGAAGATATGTTTTGTTAAGAACGCAGTAGTTTAAAATGGTTTGATTATTTCTTCAGTGAGATATTTGGAGATGGCAAACAGTTTTCCAGCTATAAAATCCGTTAAAACAATACAGATCAAGAGTAGACAAAGCATGGACCTTTAAAACATCATAGATG